GGGAAAGAAAATAGCAACCTTGTACAATTTATCACTTGAAAGTAGTACAGTAATGAGACAACGTGGGTCTTGGCGATAGGAGATCAATAGAATGTACAAGCGCTATGCAAGAATGCTGTTGATCAAAAAAACCATACTAGACACAATAAAAAAGAACATTTGAAAATAAATTTGCCATAATGATTGTACAGCAAAAGCACATTTACAAAAGAAGATGGAGAACAAGGAAATAATGAATCTTCTAGTAGTCTCTCTACCTTGTGATTTATTTATCCCAATAATTTCTGGAGTTCATTCAACAAATTCCTCTAAGATGATTCTTGGCCACCAACAAAGCCCACAACATGATTGCATGCATTTATGGCCAAAATCCAAAAAAAGCAGTAAGAGGTTCTTCTCCACAGACATCTACAGCCAGGGCTTGCTTCGATGCTTTCACCAAAGCAGGTCCCACTACTTCAGAGACAAGCTGGAATTCAATACCACAAGGGCTGTCTCCCTCCCACACATATGGCCTAAAGTGTGTCACTGAATGACAACACAGTTCATGTTCCAATGATGTGCTTTGCTAAGAAGCGGTGTTTCCATCCAATACTGCCTATTATGCAAAACGCAATACTGAATTGTACTTCTGCCAATAAAACACATTCTCAAAGAAATGAGAGGGTACTTCCAAAAGGCAGTACTGTTGGCCACCATTTATGGCATATTAGTTCACTGGGTCTAGGGTTGCCAGGCAAGGCAACCTGGCAACCAGCGGGAGACTGGGAAAAGCACGGGGGGATGGCTGTTGGTGATGGTGTGACATCACTTCCCCCCAAAACTGGAACTGACACTGTTTCTCTCAAGGATCGTTAGAAACTCTACGTTAAAACAATAGGTTTTTCTGGCGATTCCTAGAGAGGACTGACATCAATTTTGAGTTTCAGCATTGGCCTGACAGCAACAGCGGTAAACAGGAGCTGGGGTGAGGGATTTCCTGACCCTAGCAGGGATATGGCAACCCTGACTGGGTCATCACTATGAAAGTATAAGCACCAATACAAAGAAGGGCTAGAGAACAAACCAAACCATGGGTAAAATCTAATCCAAATCACTTGAACCCCATTTATTTCAGTGGAAGAGTTAACCACATACCTGGTATTTTTGGCCACGGTGTGACAGAGTGTTGAACTGGATGGGCCACTGGCCTGATCCAACATGGGCTTCTCTTATGTTCTTATGACCGGTTTAAATGGGAGGCTGGTAAGCAGAGGTCATTTCGGGGGGGATCGCGGGGGATCGCAGTTCCCCCGGGTGAGGTACGGGGGGCGGGGCACATGACGAAGACCCCTATATTTTCAGTTATAGTTTGTAGTTTTGTGAAAAAACCAATAAGAAATTCCCCTTAGGGGGATTAAAAAAAACAAACAAACACATAATGTACGGCCACTACATGCATCACACAGGATCCACCCATAGGCTCTGTGCAAAGTCCCACACAAACAGATAGGAGCTGCCTAAGAGTACACTGAATCATATAAGAGAGAACTGAACTGTACCCTTTAACGATAAATAGAAAATGGGGGAAAAAATCTGAAACATGAATATTAGTCATTGGCCAGCCTTTAGTTGTATCCAGATGTTGATCTCAGAAAGCATGCACAAGAACCATGATTCCTTGATTAGTTGTAAATCAAGTTGTAATCAAATTCCTTGATTAGTTGTAAAGCCAGTGTAGGGTAGTGGTTAGTATTACAGCTGTGACTGGGGGGAACCAGTTTCGAATTCCAACTCAGTTATGAAGCTCACTCATCTTGGGCCAGTTACCATCTTTCAGACTAGTCTGCCTCAAAGGGTTGTTGTGAGACTAATATGGGGAGGAGATATGGCTCAGTGGAAGAGCCTCTGCTCTGCATGCAGATGGTCCCAGGTTCAAGCCCTGACATCTCCAGTTAAAAGAAGAAGAAGAGATTGGATTTATACCCCACCCTTCACTACCCAAAGGTGTCTCAGAGCAGCTTACAAACTTCTTTCCCTTCCCCTCCCCACAACAGACACCTTGTGAGGTAAGCGGGGCTGAGAGAGCTCTTGACAGAAACTGCTCTTTTTCAAGAACAGCTCTTGTCAGAACTATGGCTTGCCCAAGGTCATCCAGCCAGATGCAAGTGGAGGAGTGGGGAATCAAACCCGGTTCTCCCAGATTAGAGTCCGCGCACTTAACCACTACACCAAACTGGCTCTCCCTTGAACCAGGCAGTAGGTGGTGTGAAAGACCTCTGCTTGAGACCCTGGAGAGCCGCTGTCAGTCTGAGTAGACAATACTGACCTTGATGGATCAGCGGTATAATACAGTGTAAGGTACCTTCAGGTATGTTCATATAGAACTGGGAAGAACCTAAGTTCCTGGAGGAAGGGGAGTAGGATAAGATGCTATTTATAGATGGATATATCCAAAAGACTACTAGTGAAGAATGGATATCTTCTGCATCCTCTTTCCAATTGCAGCACCCAGCTTTTGTACCGCTGGGGGTCAGAGAAGTCTTAGGGCCTAACTACACATCGTGTTTTCCCTGGAGGGCATCCCCAGATTGGAGAGAGAGAGATGTATTCTGAAATTCACGTTTCCCAGGTGGCACCAGAGCCTGATTCACACTGCAACTGTGGTGCCCCGAAAGGGGTGTGTGTTTTAGATTGCCCTCTGCCCACACCACTTTCCCAATCTGAAATGGCCAGGAGGTGCTATTTGCCATGTTGGGGGTTACAGCTCATGTTTCCACAGTGGGACAAATAGGGCTCTTTTAGATCAGGAAAACAGCTATTTCGGGGCAGGGTGATTAGGATTGCCAAGTACTTACCGTGAATTGGCGGGGGACACATGGTTTCTGACCGGAACATTCCTGCGTGTAACACATCCGTGCCCCACTATGCTGTCGCCCAGACGTGATGCCAGCACACTGGGCACGTAGCCGGGCGACACTCTGGCAATGGGGCTGAAAACTTAATGGTACCATCGAGTTTTCAGCCCCATTGCCAGAGAGTCACCCAGCTACGTGCCCAGCGTGCTGGCGTCACATCTGGGCGACAGCATAGTGGAGCACAGGTGTTTTCCACGCGGGAATGTTCTGCCAAGAACTATATGTCCCCCGCCGATTTGCGGTTAAGTACTTGGCAGCCCTAAGGGTGATCTAAGCTCACCTTCTGCATTAGGGCCACCAACACGCCGGAAGAAAAAGCATCCTGTCCTTTTAATAGAGGCTTTGTGTGTCGAAAGGGGCTGCTGAAGCTTTTCATGACATGGAAGTAAACAACAACTGGTAACTAGCATCCCATTAAGCCTCCATTAAAGGGCCAGGACATTTTTCTCAAGGCCTGTTGGAAACCCTGCTCTCCGCAACATGTGGAATTCGCTATCAGAGGACGTAGTGATGGCTACAGGCATAGATAGATTTAAAGGGGGATTGGATAGGTTCGTGGGGGATAGGCCTATCAGCGGCTACGAGCCATGGTGACTAAAGGGGAACCTCCATGTTCAGACATAGGAAACCTCTGAATCGCAGGGCCAGGAGGCAACATCAGGGGCAGGCCTCAGCCTCTATGCCCTGTTGTTGGTCCTCCAGAGGAACTGGTTGGCCACTGTGTGAGACAGGGTGCTGGATTAGATAGACTAATGGTCTGATCCAGAAAAGCTGTTCTTATGTCCACACATTGTGGTCCCAACCCAAATGCACGTTCCTGGGAAGCGCGGAATTTCAGAACAGCAATCTCCACCCGTCCCCGGGATGTCCTTGGGGAAACAGTAATGTGTAGCTCAGCCTTCACCAATTTTAGAAGATGGGAGTCTACAATGGGAGGAGGGAAATTCTGATAAAAGAATGCCACCCTTCTTCTCAATGATTTTGGATCCAACTCGCTGTGATCTAATTCCGCTTGTGGTAAGAACACACCTTGTTGCAGGCAGGGTATTCACCCGTGTAAAAAAGACAGATGGCTCCACTTCCACATGAAGCCCAAGGGACAAGTTCCTGTAATATCCATCGACGTGTCCCGGACCCCCGGAATATTTGAAATTCAAGACGGCTTCCAGTGTCTAGAAAAATAAGAGAGAGAAAAGATACACATTCATTATTCTAATTTCTTTCTACTACAAAAATGCAGCTGATTTCCAAACTGCAAATTTACACCTTGGCTGTTCAAGAGGTCTGAAGAATTCATGACCTATCAAAGCAAAAGTAGCTTATCTACTGCATTGGGCATGCAATGGAGCTTGAACGAGTTGTTTATTAAGCCTCTAACCAAGGCTGGTAGGCTGTGTTCAGCTAGGAAGGTCACAGGCCTGTTCTAAGAAATTACAGTCATTCAGTAAACAGTACACAGATTTCTTGATCAGTCAATTTCCTCTCCCTCGAGTTTCACTATACAATTTCTGCCATGTATAATCATGTATTTCTCTAGGCAATTCTGGTAGAAATAAAGAGATCCATTTACAATCCTGCTTGTGCTAGCGTCTCATAAAAAAACCAGTCAAACTTGATATTAATAATTTTATTTACTTCTGGTGCTACGAGAAACAAACCAGAAAACTTATTCTGGTTCATGCCTAAAATGTAATTACACTTTGCTTGAGAACATTAGAATTGCATATTGCAATTGCATGCATCCATCATAACTCAGCAGCCGAAACATCCAAAGCTCGTCAGAACTAAGCGAGGCTGCCCAGGCCACCATTAGTACTTGGAAGAGAGACTTTGAAGAAAGATTAAGGTTGCTACACAGAACAAGGCAATAGCAAACCACCTCTGCTCATCTCTTATAACTTAGCAGACTTTATTTACCAAGTTTCACAAAAGGGAATTATGTGTTACTGTTTACTCAGACATAGTACAATTCATCTTACATTACTGCTTTCCCAGTTTACACTGAAGCAATGAAAAACTCAACGGGTCTGTTACAGATGCTTAGCACTCTCTCACGACCATGGTAGTGGGAACTGCTATCAAGTCGCAGCCAACTTATGGTGACACCGTAGAGTTTTCAAGACGAGAAATGAACAGTAGTGGTTTCCCAGTGCCTACGTCTGCTTTGCAGCCCTGGACTATCCAAACAGAAATCAGGGCCAATATTTATTTATTTATTTGTTTATTTGTTTGTTAGACTTTTACCCCACCCTCCTGCCAAGACGGCTCACGGCGGCTTACAATAGTTAAAACCA